CGGGTCTTAAACCCGCGGGCTCAGGCAATCCACTCACCTCAGCCTCCCAAAGGTGCAGGATTACAGGCTAAGCCACCGAGCCCAGCTAACAAACACTTTCTAATTTGACATAATTTCCAGTCTAGCAGAGAGATAAACCAAACCTAATAACATGAATTGCATACAGGACCTCGGAGTAAACACTTCCACCCTGTGGTGAGCAGAATGTGTCCCCAAGAGTGTCTGCTCCCTAATCCTGAGAGCTGTATATGTGTTACCTTACATGGCAAAGGAGAATTTGCAGACATAATTAAGGCCACAGACCCCAAGAGGAAGGTAATTCTGGATTATCTGGGTGGGCCCAACCTAATCACACAAAAGCCTTAAAAGCAGAGGACGTTCTCTGACTGGAAGCAGAATTATGGAGCAGAAAGAGAAATCAGAAAGAATCTAAGGGTGACTTTGAATCAGGCTTCAAAAGAGAGAAGGAGACTAGTGCCAGGTCTGGCTCTGAGGCACGGGGCCCACATGCAAAGAATTAAGTACAGCCTCCTCTTCTGACCTCCTTTAAGTGCAATGCGTGAAGTTGCCTCTCTCTGGGCCACCTCATGGCTTCAGTTCCTCCCTCAGTGTACAGTTTATGACTCCCAACTTCACCTCCCTTCAAGCTCCAGTCTGCAGGGTCCAGCTGCTTGCCAGGCACTTCGCAGCTGACATGCTCAGCCCATGGTCACCCACTGACCAGCCTCTCCTCCTCCCCATAATTTATCTCACCTGTGAGTCCCCAGAACTGGAAGACCAGGGGCTCTATCGACTTACATCCTAAATATTTAGGGAAGCAGCCTCCTGGGTCTCTGTGTTGCAGTTGTATGGGGCAGGCTCATCACCCAATTCCAGCTGCTTAGTTGTAACCAGTTTCCTGCAACTCAGAGGAAGAATTGCATCTTAGTGGAAGCTGTTTAGAGAAGAAGCCACCATCCCTGCAGAAGTCCAGGTGGCTCCTGCTGACGCCAGCAAGGACACAGGCCCTCAGTCCTACAACCTCATGGAGCCAGAGTCTACCAACAACCTTGACCCCAACAAGGATGTTCCCAGAGCCTCCAATAAGAACTCAGCCCACCCATATTTTGATTTCAGCCCCATAAAACCCAGAGCAGAATAACCAGAGCCAGCCTGGACTTCTGACCTACAGACGGTGAGATCATAAATCTATTCAAGACACTAAGGACTTATGACAACAGCAACAGAAACTAACCCATGCCCATAGTTTTCCATTCAAACTTCTCAGCAACCAAGATTTACCATCACCAAAGTGAAGAGCATCAACAGAGATGGATGAAAAGCGCTTCGGGATGAGAGATACCATGGCTCTTGTCGGCTTTTCAAGGACTTAAGTTTTTGTACCCATTTCTTTTTTTTTTTTTTTTTTTTGAGGGAGTCTCACTCAGTCGCCCGGACTGTAGTGCAGTGGCCGCTCCGACCACCGCAGCCTCGACCTGCTGGGCTCCGGCGATCCTTCCGCCTCAGCTTTCCGAGTAGCTGAAATTACAGGCATGCACTACCACGCCCGGCTGATTTTTTGATTTATTGTAGAGATGAGGTCTCACTGACCAGGTGGGTCTCGAACCCGCGGGCTCAGGCAATCCACTCACCTCAGCCTCCCAAAGGTGCAGGATTACAGGCTGAGCCACCAAGCCTGGCTTCTATCCATTTCATAAGTGCTGGAACCAGTATGCCCTGGTCACTTGGCTTTACTTCCAGGGATGGAGCCACAGGGCTAGTCTGTTTCTCTAGGAGCACTCAGATGACCCTTGATGCTAAATACTTCCTTGACAATAAGGCATCAAGTTCCTCTTGTCTTACAGCTAGCCGATCAAACCCAGACTGCAGCCTTTTCCCCACCCCTAGCCTGACTCCACATGTATTCTGTGTAAAATCACGGCCCCTCCTCACTTTATTATGGAGAAAAAGTAAAGACCTCACTTCCCCACTTCCCCAGGAGTTACCTGAAGCTGGGCAATTGATAAAGAAAAGGGATTTACTTGGCTTACAGTTCTGCTGGCTGTACAAGAAGCATGGTGCCAGCATCTGCACCTGGTGAGGGCCTCGGGTTGCTTCCACTCAAGGCAAAAGAGAAGGGGAACCAGCGTGTACAGAGATCACAGAGAAAGGGAGGAGGAGGAAGGATGGGAGGGAGAGAAAGGAGAGAGGGGAAGGAGGGAGAGAGAGGAGAGAGAGAAAGAAACAGGGAGAAAGAGAGAGATGGAGAAAGAGGGAGGAAGGTGGGGGGCGGAGAGAGAGAACGCGCATGAGCAAGAGAGGTGCCAGGTTTTTTTAACAACCGGCATCCATGGGCACTAAGAGAGCAAGAACTCACCCATTACCACAAGGATGGCAGCAAGCTCCTTACGCAGAGTCCACCCCCAAGACCCCAACACTTCTCACTAGGCTCCACCTCCAACACTGGGGATCACATTTCAACGTGGGGCTTGGGGGGGGACACACATTCAAACTGTATCAGCTAATCGTTTCAAAAGCTGTGGGGTGAAAAGTCTCTCCGCCCGAGAAAAAAATGTGAAAAAGATAAGAGACAACCATCAACCACCCAGGACGCGGCATGGTCCCGATCCCACTCTGCTCAAGAGCTGGGGCTTGCCAGCGTCTGCTGTGGAGAAGGCTGGATTGTTTGCCTCTGCTGTGTTTCTCTCCTCAACCACAACACCAGAAGTATTCGCTGGTCACCTGTCATGTGCAGAGCCCCATGAAGGTCCCTGAGACTAGTCCAGGGCCACTGGGAGCCGGAAGGTGTGAAGAAGCAGGTTCTCTGCCCCTGTGGGTGATGGCCACAGTTTGTGACTTTTGTCATAGGAGCTTGCCAAGTTCTCTGCTGATGGTCCCCTACTGTTTCTATTGATAAAAAAGCCAAGGTCTGGGAGAGAAAAAGGAGGCGCTGCTGGACCTTAGCTGAGGCCTTCGGCTCAGTCCAAAAATTGCCCAAAGCTCAAGCCACCTATGGCAGCTACTTCTGGATCTATCACTACAAACCCTCCTATAGTCTGCTTACATTAGCTTTTAAGGCCAGCACAGTGGCTCATGCCTGTAATCCCAGCACTTTGGGAGGCTGAAGTGAGAGGATTGCCTGAGCCCATAGGTTCGAGACCAGCCTGGACAACTTGGCGAGACCTCATCGCTACAATAAATCAAAAAATTAACTGGGTGTGGTGGCATATGCCTGTAGTTCCAGCTACTTAGAAGGCTGAGGCGGAAGGATCACCTGAACCCAGCAAGGTGAGGCTGAGGTGACCGTGAGCATGCCATTGTACTCCAGCCTGGGCAACAGAGTGAGATTCCAACTCAAAAAAAAAAAACAAACAAACCAATAAATTAGCTTTTAAGTACATTCAATGCTATGGTTAAGACCAGACTGAATGTCAGCCTCTGATACTGGATGAACATGCTAAAGCTTTGCATGCAAATTTTACCTTAATGATTGATTAAGAAAGGAGGAGCATTACAATGAGATTCCAATGAGTTGAGGCAATGACTTTCTACCAATGGAAAAAGCATAATCTTGAAATGCCATACAGTCAAGCAATGTGTACCCTATTTTTTGGTGTGTTTTTTTTTCCCTTTGTGGTTAGCCTTAAAATATGAAAAGGTGCGAGTGGCAAGTCTAGGAAGCACAGGCAAGAGAGGTCTTCCTCTGACATGCAGAGAGAGCTGTGCTGACCCAGAAATCGTTTCTTATTACGGAAGAAAACCTTCAAGGGCTTGGTCATCATTGTCCATAAGTCCTCAAGCAGGCTTTGGCCAAAAGTATGAGACTTAGGGTGGGATAAAATAAGCAACTTACTCAAATTTGGGATTAATCTGGTGTGAACTTAAGCCAGATATGGAGGAGCCCAGTGTGGATGCGGGGGATCCCTGGCTACCGGTGATTGTTAGTGTGTGATTAAGTTTTGTTCTAATGTGTGGCTCTTCTTCCAAATGTAGGTTCACTTCACCATGGGCTTATATTTTTAGATTTTGTTTTAAAAGCTCAGTCAAGTGGCTTAAAACCAAGCAGAGCTGGGATGAGAGCCCAGAAGTCTAACCTCTCCCCTACCCCCACTCCCCGCCCTGTTTGGGCCACAACCAATACCAAAACAGTTCAACTTTGTGAAGTACTGTCTGTCACGATTTGCCCTACCTTGCAAGTGTCAAATGCTAATTGAACTATTGGAATCTGTCTCTGCTGTCACCCTGTTCTTTTGGCAACTTTAAAAATAGCAAGGTATCAATAAATATCACTTCAACCTCACCCAGGAGTCCAAAGTCCGGTATTTAAAATTGGATTTCTTGCTCCCCACAAGTCAGCCAAGGTCCCATGGCACTTGAATACCAGCTGGGAGAGAATATATGGGGCCCTAACATAGAAACAGAACTTTCTGACGATTGGTCATACTGTATGATGTCATAAGGGCGGCAGGGAGATGGAACTGAGGTGGAGCAATCCCTCCCTGAAGAAACCAAGCAGGTCTCTGCAAGACCCTTGCACAAACCCTGGAGCCAGACCTGGTCCCTCATGCAAATGCTGGCCCTGCTGGTCCCAGGGCCATCTACCAGCTCTAACAAAGCCATCACCTGCTGGCCTGAGCCTGAAATCCCCATCTTCCTGGGCCATCTAGTACCCTAATTGATTCCTGCAGCAAACACTGAGCACTAACCTACTAGTGAAGACAGGGAACTTTTGGGGAATTTGATAAAGACTGAGAGGACCTCTACCCCTAAAAAAGCAAATGCAGCCAGGCTCGGTGACTCAGCCTGTAATCCAGCACTTTTGGGAGACTGAGGTGAGTGGATTGCCTGAGCCCGCGGGTTCGAGACCCGCCTGGGCAGGTGAGACCTCATCTCTACAATAAATCAAAAAATTAGCCGGGCGTGGTAGCGCGCGCCAGTAATTCCGGCTACTCATAAGGCTGAGGTGGAAGGATCGCCTGAACCCAGGAGGTCGAGGCTGTGGTGGCCGGGAGCAGCCACTGCACTCCAGTCTGGGCGACAGAGTGAGACTCCAACTCAAAAAAAAAAAAAGCAAATGCATACAAAATGTTCATGCAATTCAAAGAAGTTCATGGACTCTTGAGAAAGAATACCTGGTGGAGTGGATGCTAGGCCTTGTGGCACAAAACACAGGCAAAGGCATCCTTGCTTTCAAAGATCCCATTGCCTAAAGAATTTTTGATGAAGAAAGAAGTAACTGAACACCTACTTTGAGACACGTGGTAGCAGACATGATTGCATTACTTCCTCACAGCCAGCCTGCAGAGCAAATGTGATCTCACTCTACAGATGAAAAACTGAGGCTCAGAAAGGAAGAGAGTCATTCAAGGTAGCCTACAGAGGGAAGGGCTGAACTGGGTGAAGCTAGAGCCCATGACAGAACAGTCGACTGCAAACCTTTGAGGCTCCGGAAAAAGTCCATCCTGTGAAGATATTATCACCCACAAGTTCCTTTTTTCCTTCCTGGGCTTTCTTTTCCCAGGGCGTAACCGGGCCTCCTCCCCTCCTGAATCCCAGTTTTCCCTAATGCAAGAAAAACCACGGAAAAGCTGCCTCAAGCCGGGCTCAGTGGCTCAGCCTGTAATCCCACGCCTTTGGGAGGCTGAGGTGAGTGGATTGGCTGAGCCCGCGGGTTTGAGACGCGCCAGGGCAGCGAGACCTCATCTCTACAATAAATCAAAAAATTAGCCGGGCGTGGTAGCGCACGCCTGTAATTCCGGTTACATGGAAGGCTGAGGCGGAAGGATCGCCGGAGCCCAGCAGGCGAGGCTGCGGTGGCCGGGAGCAGCCACTGCACTCCAGTCTGGGTGACCAAGTGAGTTTCCAACTCAAAAAAAAAAAAAAAAGCTGCCTCAGTGCCACCTCCAGGGGCTTGCCCCACTCCTCTCTGCCCCAGCCCCCCATCCCACTGCCCACACTGTGAGCTGGGGCCAACATCCTTCCTCTGAGCTCGGCTCCCATGACTGGCCTTCAAGTCCGTGTTTACACATCTGTCTCCCCTTCCAGATGAAATTCTTTATGTAGCGGACTATATTTTAATAAATTAATGAGTGTGGTTTTATCCCTGATAGCTCCTGTCACCCCATGACCTTTCCCTAACACTAGCACCTAAAGTGCTGTCTCCTCACTGCCTCCATTAAGTCACAGAACCGCAAAGTGCCGAGAACTGAAGGGCCTATTTTTATCCTTTTGGCTTCACCAGGTCTAGGCCCTGGCAGAGATAAAGCCACAGAAGAATGCGCAGGGAGCCAGAGACACCCACCCTGACCATCGCCCTTCAAGTCCGGAGCTGACTCCCACAGTCTAATGTGCATTGGAACCACTGGGCATTCTGAGTCTGTGGATGTGAAATGGGGCCTTGAGAGTCCAGATTCCTGTGAGCTCTGAAGCTGGTGCCACTGGCCCGTGGGCCACATTTTGCAAAGAGTCTTCTACAAGCTGACCCATCCAATATAGTAGCCACTAGCTATTCAAAATTAATCATTTAAAATTAAGTTAATTTAATTTAAATTAAATGGAATTTAAGATTTGAAGCCTCTGTCTCACGAGCTAAGTTTCGAGTACCCTGTGGCCACGTGCACCAGTGGCTACACACAGGGCCACACGGATACAGAACATCCCATCATGGCATGGTAGATGTTCTGTTGGTCAGCTTGTGAGAGAATGAGAAGAATAAGAGCAAGTAGAGTGCTGGTCTTTGAGCAGTGTCCTGACCCAGACTTGAGGCCATTCTTGGAGCTACATAAGGGCTTCAATGTGCCTGTCTTAGCCCTGTCAAGACATGAGAATTTCTGACTGAAAGGGCTGGAGCATCCACAGAATAAGCTTAGTGCCACCATCCACAGCTTCCCCAGGTTCCCAGGAGGCAAGAACAGCCTGCATTGATGGGAGGTGCTGGTCTTCCTGGGTGGGGTTTTCCTGACCACTGTGCAGCCCCTGGCTGGAGAGGGCATCCCACTCACTAGGCAGGGACCTGATGAGGGGGAAATGTCGACTCTTCAGACATAGGCAGCCTCCCATCTGTCCGTCCCAGGCTTGTTCTAGGTGGAAACTCACTGGTAGCAGGCCTCCAAGCCGCCACTGGATGGTCCCCCTCTTACTAACCCTGGGTTGGAGCTGCCAATCTTTTTTTTCTTTTTTTTTTTTAATTTTTTGAGTTAGAGTCCTACTTTGTTACCCAGGCTGGAGTGCAGTAGCACACTCATGGCCATCCCGGCGTTGACATGCTGGGCTCCGGAGATCCTTCCACTTCAGCTTTCCAAGTAGCCAGAAGTATAGGCAGGCGCTACCGTGCCCGGATGATTTTTTTTATTTATTTATTGTAGAGATGAGGTCTTGTCAAGTTTTCCGGGTTGGTCTCGAGCCTGCAGGCTCAGGCAATCCTCCCAAAGTGCTGGGATTACAGGCTGAGCCACTGAGCCCAGTCTCTTTTTCTTTTCTTTATTTTATTTTATTTTATTTATTTGTTTGTTTGTTGTTTGTTTTGAGTTGGAGTCTCACTCTGTCACCCAAACTGAAGTGCAGTGGCACGCTCCTGGCCACCACAGTCTCAACCTGCTGGGCTCTGGCGATCCTTCTGCTTCAGCCTTCCAAGAAGCCAGAACTACAGGCATGTGCTACCACACCCAGCTAATTTTTGATGTATTGTAGAGACGAGGTCTCACCAAGTTGCCCAGGCGGATCTTGAACCCGCAGGCTCAGGCAATCCACTCACTTCGGCCTCCCAAAGTGCTGAGATTACAGGCTTAGCCACTGAGCCTGGCCTTTTTTTTCCTTTTCTTTAAAGTCAGAGTCTCTCACTCTGTTGCCCAGGCTGGAGTGCAGTGGCATGAGCACAGCCTACCATAGCCTCAACTTTCTGGGCTCAAGTAGTTCTCTCACCTTAACTTTCTGAGTTCCTGGGACTACAGGCGTGTGACACCAGGCTGAGCTAATTTTAAAAATTATGTGGTAGAGATGAGATCTTGCTATGTTGCCTAGGCTGGTCTCAAACGTCTGGACAATCCTCCCACTTGGGTCTCCCAAAGTGCTGGGATTATGGGTGTCAGCCACCATGCCTGGCCTCTGTCAATCTTATTCTAAACTTTTCTTATCCCTCATTCCCCATCAGAGCTTCCCTGCCTGGAGTAGTCATCTATTGATGTGTAACAAATCATCTCACAATTAATATATACTATTTTGCATATTTTCTGTGGCTCCGGAATTAAGAGCAGCTTAGTTGTGTGGTTTGGCTCCAGGACCCTGATGAGATTACAGTCAGGACTTCTGCTGGGGCTACAGTCTCATCTGAAGTCTTAACTGGGGTCAGAGGTCAGCTTCCAAGATGGTTCATTCACACGCTGCAAGTTAGTGCTAGTTGCTGGCACAAGGCCTCGGTTCCTGGTCATAGTTCGTATCGCTAAAGGGCTGCTGAATGTCCTTATGACAAGGCACCTGGTTTCCTTTGCAGAAGGAAGATCAAGAGCACTTGATGGGAGAAGCTGCAAAGTCACATTGCAAGGAGGTGTGGATGCCAGGAGAGATGGGGACTGTAGCTATTATTGCCACCCACTACGTCGGAGGAGGAAAGCATCGGCTGCAAGGCCTTTTATTACCTAGCCTCGGAATCATACTCTGTCATTTCTGTATTGCCCCACTGGCCACCCTGTTCAAACCTGCTCAGCGTGGAAGGGCTTTACCCATGGGTGTGATTACCAGGGGCTGAGGATCGTTGGGGCCATCGTGGAAGCTGGCTTCCAGGTTGACCAAGTTTGTTCCTCAGGGCTGAGCTTTTTGTGGGTGAAAATTCATGCATTCCGGTTATTGTCTGATGGAAGCCAAAGAGCTCAAGACACATTCCCTGAACTCTTGTCATGAGCCAGATGCTGTCAGACATTGGGACAACACAGTCAGTGCATGTGACTCTCAGTGAACCCTTAAGGTACACAGGAAATGTGATCATCTATGTGTTTTCCTTTTAGCTGAGTGGAAGAAACATTCTCAGTCAGTTCCAGACTTCACACCCCTTTTTCTAGGGTCATGTTAGAGACAGTGTTTTTAGAACACTACCTGGAAGGTGCAGAAGAAGGATCATATAACTGTTTTCAGGCAAATGTTGACATGGATTAGAAATGCTTTCCATTAGTTATCTATGGCTGCATAACCAGTTATCTCAAGACAGAGGCTTGAATCAGCATGTAAGATCTCCTAGTGTCTGTGTCAGCATCTGAGCTTAGCTCCCTATGCCCTTTCAGGCTGCAGTCAAGGTGTCCATGGGCTGCTCTCCTCTCAAGACTCTGGGGGAAGGATTTGCTTTCTCATCTACTCTAAAGATCATTGGCAGGATTCTGTTCCTCCCTGGCTGCTGGTTTTTCTATAGTGC